CCATGGACGTTAGCTCACTTTCATTAGTGTTCCTATCGCAGAAACCATTGAGTATTTATGCGACCAAATCCAGGAAAAGAATATCGAAATTGCAATACCTCTGGATGACTTGAGACAGCCATTGTACTTTTGCACGCAGAACGCTCAGTTCAAGTTCAATGAAGAAATCTGTCGCCAAAAGGATGGAGTCGCAATGGGATCCCCGTTCGGTCCTCTATTTGCGGATTCATTCATGTCCAAGATAGAAAATAATGTTTTGAAGTCCACGATTAAGCGATGTAGGCTGTGCAGACGATATGTCGGTGATATATTATGTTTTGTGGACAGTAACGTCAAAGTGTCCAACTTGCTCAGGATATTTAATTCCGCTCATCCCAACATCAAGTTCACATTGGAAGAAGAGTTAATGACGGGATTGGTTTTATCGATATCTGGCGAAAGCGTCACACAGATCGTTCTATTCAGCGATCGATTTATAGGAAACCGACTTGGAGCGGCCTTTACATCCATTTCAGAAGCTTCATGTCACTCAAACGAAAAATAAATCTTAATAAGTGTTTGGTAAACAGGGCCGCAAAATATGCACCGATGACACCGTAAATGCGGAACAATTATTCATTCGTGATGTTTTCCTACAAAATGGCTATCCACAATGTTTTGTGGATAATGAATTGCGAAATAACCGTCCGAGGGAAAGACTTTTAAGGGGAGAGAAGAAGTAAGTATACATTTCTCTCCCATTCAAAGGGGATTCAATCGCAGAATTAGTTAACCGCAAACTAGAAAATGCGTTGCAGAATACTTTTCATGCGGCAAAATTATGTATCGTATTCACATCCAGACCGATCTTGTGTTCGCAGCTCAAAGGCAGGATTCCTGCTTCCGCAGTCTCATTTCGTGTGCACCAGTTTACGTGTTCCCGTGGAGCAACGTATATCGGCCGCACGAGCAGGGGTCTAACTACAAGAGTTCGAGAACATCATTGGGTCTGGTTGAACACTGGTGTGATTAAAACTATTACAAGTGCCATCGTTTCACACCTCGTCGAGTCCGATCACACAGTGAGTGTGACTGAAGGAAGCATTTCGGCCTCTCTACTGTGTTCGGGGTCGCAGATCAAAGTCGATTAAAAATCGCATCCTAGCCACCGCAGAGGCGGTTGGAATTCGTCTACATAGTCCCCCCTTGTGCGCCCAAAAACAGTTTTTGAAGTCACTTAACGTACCGTGGCCCTCCACCTCCCATCCTAATTCTCCTT